CTTTTGGAAGGCTGAAAAATGAACTAAAATGCATTATTAGAATGTCAGAGAGGCTACATCATGAAAAGGGATTCGCAAAGGCTGAGAAATGGTGAAGAAACCCTGAACAAGGCTCGTGTGAATGTTGTCAGGCACAGATATTGAGAAAATCAAGGACTACCCTACTCAAAAGAAGCATATAGAGGGTGATGAGTAAGCGCGTATGTCACTTACTGAGTCTATTCAATGTGAGAATAATCATTACATTCATAGTTACTGACACAAATGTACTTTCAAAAGGTACTTGGTGAGTGATAAAAGAAAATCCTGTGGAAACAATTTTATTCCTATTACGTGAGCCATTAAAAAAAATTCCTTTTTTTAAATTTGGACACGAGGGTCAGTGAAAATTTCTATTTCATTATGCAACCGCTAAAGTAAAAAGACATGTCAAATATTTTTATAAGTTATAAGAAACAGTTCGGGCAGAGAAGGTGAAATAAGATCTCAGAAAACAGTGATCAGAGAATAAGCTATAACAAGTTTAGGAAAGTAAACACACATCAAACCCTCCTTAAAACTATTCTTAACCTTTGATTCAATAATGTCACTTCTGAGGCTAGTTCAAGTAAACATAGAATTTGGGGGGTTAAAAATATTTAAGCTAAAAAAACTCTCCCTGGAGTTGGCTACAACAATAAATATTTAGAAATAACACTAGACCCCTGCGTCCCTCGCAAACAAAACAAAAGAAAACAAATAAATAAAAGCTTTGGCTATAGCGGGATGAGGGCTTTCATTTTCCCCAGGGAAAAATGCTTTATAGATAGCCCATTTGGGGTCATCAAATGACTGAAAAGAGCTACAGTATTTATGTAGCCCTTGGGTCAGGCAAACTTTACGTTGTCCCAGAACATAGCATATATATATTTATACCATCCTGCCTTAGCCCTTGACAGTCTGCTGTTTTCAATAGACTTCTCTTTTCCTTTTGTCTATTCCGATTTCAGATGTTCTTCAAGTTCTCGGTCATTCTACTTCCTTCCCTAATGCTTTTATAATTATTCTAGAGCACAAAATCTTCCTCATCTCTGTCTTCTAGAACTGCATTTTCAATTTTGATCGCATACTCCACTACTGTGACTCAAGCATTATGAAGGATGTCATGAATGTCACATACCAAGTTCATATACAGAAGCTTGTAAATGTCTTACTTGTTGGAAAGAAGAAATAATATGGAGGACTTTAGTATCTGGCATGAATAGTCACATTCCCTTAGTTCAAGTCTCAACCCCCACCATCTTCTAGCTGTGTGATCTTGTGGAAGTTGTACGACTTTCCTGGGCCCCAATGTTTTCTTTTACAAAATGGAGATAATTATACTATCCGACTCATTTTATTATTATGTTTTAATGATTATCTGTCTCTCTATCATCTGTCTATGCCCTAATCTCACAATCAAAATCTGTTCCTTTTTCTCTTAATTCGGATTTCTAATAATATGGACATGACACACCATGACCAAAATTTACTCTGAGTATTCAGAAGTTGGTCTTCAATTATACAACCATCTGAACTTGCACAATATATTAAAAAATAGTTATATTAACTATCTCTGGTAGTCTGAAGGTGTTGATCACCAGTAAGGTAGCCAGGGCTCAATCTGGCATGCAAACATTGCTTACCTCCAATAACTCTCATGGAGAATGGAATACAACTTAAAGAAGAAATGCCCTAATGCTAACAACTTACAGACATCATAGCACTGTGTCCAGAGGCAGTTTACGAGGTAAGATTCCTCCTCCTAAGGAGAGGCCGTCACAAATTGGATGGGAATTGTTCACTCACTCACCACCTCCTTCTTAAAAAGTGGTTTTAAAGGATGTGTATTTGAAAAGTGATCTGACTTGCCCAAGTCCTTTATGTGTCATCAAGGAAAGAGGAAAGAAACTAAAGATGGAATGAAGATAACTCTACTTTCAACAGTAGCGTGCTATGCGTAAAGACGCTGGGAATTTCCATTTTGCTATTTCTTAGAGAGTTTGCTGTGCCCTTCTGCTTTCCCAGGTCCTTCTCTTATCCACAAAGACTGGCCAAAAAGAAGTTAATCCTATCAGTCCTAAATCATTCCTATTGATTCACTTCTACCAGAAAGCACTACTAATGAAGGACAACAGCAACATTAACCCTGAAGAGCTTGAAAAATTAAAAGAACTCTCAAGAAATTATCAATTTTAGACATCATTATAAATAATTTACCAATACAAAAACTTGTATTTCTTGTTCTGATTGTGGGTGACTGCTTCACTAAAACACGCCTCAACACACCAAGGATTCTGACATTTCCATGAGAACAGAATCGTAGGCTTGTTTGGTTCACCTGAGGATGTTTTGTGTGCCACCTGCATTTCGGAAGCTCATCTCTGTCGCCCACGTGAGGGGCACATGCCTATTGAGGCAGGAAAGCATCCACGATTCACTCCGTTTCAGAGTAACTCAAAACAACGGTCCTCATCCCACCGAGGAAAGGAGGAATTAGAGGAAGGACACATATCTGAATTACACAGCTATCCAAGGTATGTTTGCAAGAAGTCACAGATATCCAAGTGCCCTTGATTTGTCCTGACTGGGTGCCCAGAAAGGAAGAAAGAGGTTCACAAAGTAAGTTGCAGCCTATGGTGCAGGCACTGAGCAATTTCACAGAAACGGGATTGGGAAGGGTGGGGGAAGAAAGAGAGACTTTTTAAGGCTTTGTGTGTTGAGTCTCTGGTTCTTCAGGCTTGACAGTGTTCCTTTAAAAATCAGCACCTCACCTCCATCGATTTTCAACTGTATACTCTTTTTTTAAAGCTAGAAACCTTTTATTTTTAGCCTGATGGATGGAGTAAATTAAAAACAGCACCCATAGAGCTGAACTTTAAAAAAAACTGTTAAATTACTTTTGGAGAAAGCGAACAGAATAAGCGTTAAGAGTCACAGGAATGTTGTAATGTGACTTGGCTGAAATTTGGGGTGCCTCGACCTAGGCCTTCTTGAGGGTTCTCTTGTCTCGCTATTCACTTGATGGCCATTTCAGTCATCTCTGAGCTTCTTCTAGGAGCACGGCATGACAGTCTGGACAGTCCTGTGTGTGTCCTACAGTGTTTCTATACAGACATATGTTGTTCTTGACTATTTGAGGATAATATTTCTGGAACCAGAACTTAAACCTACAGATTGGTATTTAATGGGACTCTTAGATACAAACATGTAATTTTAGCCTTAGATGGGCCCACAAGAGATCATTAGTTTTCCTTCATAAGCTCTGTTAAAAAAAGAAACTTTGAAGTGACAAAATTATGTACTTATTTAAGAGCTAAGTAAAATTTAAATTCAATCCCTCTCATTCCAGCGTTCTCTTCACTATTCCAATTTTTTAAATAGAAAAATTTAAATAATATAATTTATGATAAAGCCAGACAACGTATTGCACTTCTTCAGGTAACTAACACCAATGACATCATCCTCTGCTGACCAGTGGACTATTTCTTCTCTGATTTGATCAGGCTCCTGTATGGACATCACTGGTGAATTCTCATTCCAAGCAGAGGAGAGGTCATGAAATAGCCAAGAGGTCTTCAAGGATGTGAGTTTCAACGTTGCTTATCCTTGATCAGTCTGATTCTAGCCCAGCTGGCATCTACCATGTCCTTTCTATGTCCTGAGTGTCAGTCCAGCAACTACAGACACTTGAGAAACGCTGGTGAATTCCGTCCCTGGGTGACAGTTCTCACTGTCGTCCTCAGAATAGCTCCTTGCCTTATCTTATATCTTTCTAGAAAACCCTTCTCCTACCCATCTATCTTCTGAGCCGTTTCAAATGTATCTTTTTCCATAAAATCTTCTACTACTCAGCCAGCTCTTTCAATTACAAATAAGTGTCTTTCTCAATTACTCTTGTAGTCCATTTCTCCCAGCTGACATAGGTTTCTCTGCATGGCAACCTTTCTCTACTTTGCCATGTGTTTTTGTTTGGTGATCCCAATAAGACTATAACATTTAAGAAACATTTAATATTATTTCCTTACTTCACACCCTCACTGTCCATGCTTTATATCCCCTAGCCTGCCTCACTCGGTCTTCTCTCTTAACACTCCTCTTCACCCACAGGCCCCTCCAGCGCTGAGGAACTATCTGTAGATTCACACTTTTCACAGATGACCGTTATGTTTTAGGCCCCCATTTCTTGCTTTGCTTCTGAGATCCTTTCTTCCTTTTTTCTATGATTCCTACTGCACATTCACCTCAGGCCTTCTATCTGAAGTCTCCCGAACACTGGGATTGACGGGTTGTTATCAGCAATTATCACCAATATTCAGGTTTGGTTTTCTCACATTCCATGGTGTCCCCACTGAAGTTGGGTGTGCCCATGTAGCTTTATTTGGCCAGTGGTATGTTCATGGAAGTATGCTTGCTACTTCCAGGAAGAAGCTTTCTAAAACCAGCCCATGTTTTCCTGTGCTTCCTGCCCTGTGCTCCCTTTTCCCTGACCACTGCAACATTCCAGATGATGGAGCCTCTTTACCACCCAAGACTGAAGACAATGCGGAAGGAGGGCCCCGGCCAATGCGCGATGAGCAGGTGACACAGACATGACATGGCCACTTGTTACTTAGATCACCGAGATGTTAGTTGATGACAGCAGCATCACTGAGCCCAGCAAGACGACGCAACTGCCTTAATCGCTCCCCCTTGTGGGACAGTAGCACCTTCTCTTGCCTCTATTTCAACACGTACCCAACTATGTTGCTATTATCTCATTTCCTGTCTGTCTTGCTGGTAGACCATACACTCCAAGAGAACTGACTTATATCCATGTAGCCTCCGTGCCCACCACCGTGTTTGGCATGTAATATCCTCTCAAAAAATTACGTTTAATGAGCAGTAAAGTGCATGCCCTATTCCAAATACATCCTGATGTTAAAAGTAGTATTTCTGGAGCTGTGCTCATCCCACTGTGAGCAAAGCCTGCATCCACTCACAGTTGTGGCAGGTGGCCCCGGTGTAACTTGTGTTGCTGCAGTTACAAGAAAAGGTAGTCCAGGACTGGGAGCAGCGTCCTCCATGTTCACAGTAGTTTGGCAAACACCTAATGGGAGAAAACACAAAAGCAAACAAAATACACCAAATCAATTGGCATAAGAGGAAAGCAAAAATGTCACATCCAACTGTATGAATTAATAGTGGAAATTGATTTGCTGTGCCCTTGTTCCTAAGTCATACTTGAATGACATCAAAATAATACAAGTATTACAATTTTTTATTATAAAGATGTGGGGTACAATCCAGGGTTAGGTATACAAAGGTTGATTATGCAGGTACCCTTAAGTATTACAATTTTAACACAAGAGGTAAATCCGCCTTGCATTACGGGACAATGAAAGTCTCAGGTCTGATTTAGGTATTTAAGTGAAGGATTTTAATATTGAGGCAAATTTGTATTGGCTTAAAGTTAATTTAAAGCGGTCAGAATTTGTAAGGTCAGAATTTGTAAGGCTTCATTTACTAAATAACAAAATGTACAAAGATAATCATTTTACATTTTTAAATGGTTTTACATTTTTAAATGGTTTTACATTTTTAAAGGAGGCAGATAATTGAGGTCACTGTGCTCACGCTTCTCTTTAAGATAATAACCAGGTATCTATTTTAAACACCACAAAGGCAACATGAAATCTGAAAAGAAGACAACCATTTATCTAACATGCCAGGGAACTCTATTATTTTTTAAAATGCCAACATCATCCTTAAAATAAGGTCTTTAGTGCCAGGCTCAGTGGCTCAGCCTATAAACCCGCGCCTTGGGAGGCTGAGGTGAGTGCATTGCCTGAGCCCGTGGGTTCGAGACCTGCCTGGGTAACTTGGCAAGACCTCATCTCTACAATAAATTTTTTAAAAATTAGCCAGGCGTGGTAGCACACGCCTGTAGTTCCAGTTACTTGGAAGGCTGAGGTGGAAGGATCACCGGAGCCTAGCAGGTCGAGGCTGCGGTAGCCGGGAGCAGCCACTGCACTCCAGTCTGGGTGACAGAGTGAGATTCCAACTCAAAAAATAAATAAATAAATAAATAAGGTCTTTATTATTTATGGCCAAAACAATATGGCTATTCTGAAAAATATTTTCACCATATGCATCAAAAACTCCATATCATTTATATAATTGGAATTAATAATCACACTTAGATGAATCTCTCCTAAGATATTCAAAATATAAAAACTATATATGCTAATTAGTGTTATTCACAATGACAACATTCCTAGTGGTGACTCAATGTAAGTATCCACCATTAGAAAATTACTTAGGAAAACTGTAGTGTACATGACCGGTGGACACTCACACAGCTACAACAAATGATGTGGAGAAAAAAGACTATCTCAGACCGACACTAAACTAAGTAAAAAATTAAGATACGTAGAATGAACACAAGGAAATAAAATACACACTTTACAAAATTCAAATACAGTGGGAAGGAAAAACAGTAAGACTTGGACCAATGGGAAAGAAGGCAATGTTAATTTTTTCTAGGTAGAAATCATGGACTTTAGGGAGACATATATTTGAGTTCAAATCCCATTTACTGCATGATACCTTTGGTAATTCTCCGCACCTTTTATACTATTGCCATTAAGAGATAAACTAACAAGGGCTTAATAAGTGTAGAAAATAAAATTTAGAGTAAAAGCAATGGTGAGTACTGGAATTCTTCAAAACAATCTTTATGGAGAGTCTGAGAGAGCAAAGAAAAAAAAATTCCATCAATTTAGGAAGAGAGCCGGTATAAACAATGAAGTTAAAAAAGTGGTATAATACAATAAATGGGTCCATGGTGGAGACACTGAGACTCTCAGGCATGCAAAAATAAGATGATTGACTCTAACTGTCCCATATAGGTGGGAGACCCTCCAGCAACAAAGCCCAGAAACTAATATTCCTGCATATGTTCAGACGTATTATTAGAAAATTTCTGCTCAGCACAGCAAACATACAATTGTGCTGACAGGGCTTATGTTTGGGAAACGCTGGTTGAAAACTTTGTGGTATCCGATGATGGCTTAAAGAATAGAGGAGGGAGAGGAGGAAACAAAACAAAACAAAACAAAACGGGCCCTGTAGTTTTGCTGTGAAATGTATTCACACACACACACACAAACAACAAGACAAATAATCAAAGAAAGTGTTCCCCTCCCTCTCCAAATTCTCCCCTTCCCACCCACTCTTCTGGTCTCGGTGGAAAGGAAACGGCACAGCCTTGTCCCTTGGTAACCTGGAGTCCCTGTCCCTCTGTGAGCCTGTGCTGTGGGGAAAATGTCATCCAGAGGCCAGGTAAGCAGCTCCCGCAAACCCTGAAGGACAGCCTGGGGAGATAACGCTGTTTGAAACTCCTGTCGCCACCCCCTTTTTCTTTTCTCCTGCTTCCTCCTTCCCAATACTGCTTCTCCCACTGTTTACCTTTTGCCAGGTTTTTCTCTTCTGATGCTGCCAAATTTTCCATGACCTCTCTACACCCTCTTTCCCCGAATGTCATCCCTCTTCCCCTTCTCCCTTTCTCTCCTTCTCTCTCTCTCTCTCTCTCTCTCTCTCTCTCTCACACACACACACACACACACACACACACACACACAGATTTCCATGATCAGCAAATAATGGTATTATTGCTGCCCTCTCCCCAGCAAACTAGCAATTGCTTTACGAATTTTGAAAAGTTGAGCAAAGCAAAGTCCACAGGTGCTTATCCTCTAGTTCTTTTGATTTGGGCACCAAGAATTTCCAGAGTCGCCTCTTTCTGGTGGCTGAAGCCGTAAAATAAAAAAATCCAGATGTTCTTGGTGGCTGTGTTTTCAGTCGTAAGAAGAAAATTTGTCCACAGTGAAAGATAAACAGAACAGCAGCAAGAAATGCTGATGTGCAGCAGGTGGCAGAACAAAGAGATGGAGAAGGTTCTGGACATATTCGTGTGGGTGCTGCCTAGACTTGGATGCACCTGCAAACCTGCTGTCAGCTGGCTGTTTTAATTGATACTGGGTTCTGTCAGATAACCTGAGATCCTTCCAGAAAAGTCCTCATTTCAATCAAGCTAGCTCAAGTTGGGATTATCTTACTTTCCACTAACAGAATCTTCAAATTTTTCAAACAGCATCCTATAATTACAAGAAGTAATAAAAACACGTTTTTCCTGTATTCCGAACTTTAAAATATCTTGACAACTCAAGATTATCAGATCCAATTGGACATGTAGGGCAGGGGCTCAGTGAAACTGTAAGAAATATCTGGGCACTTTGAATACATCTCTAATAAGCCTCACATGGACGCTGTGTTGCACTTTCAGTAAACTCAATTTGCCAATAAAAATTTAGACTAGAAGCTTATTTGTCTAGGGTCACTCGAAAAACCAATGATGTATTTCTGAGGGGGAAAGCAAAGACTGGGGTAAGGGAAAATCTAATATTCCTAGACTGAGATAACAAATGAATGAGCACTAATAGGGCTGCCTTCGAGCTTGGTTCATTGTGGTTCAACGCACACCGTGATTAGAAAAACTCATCTGTAAAGTAGATGCTTGAAATAAAAGATGCATAAGCCCAATTTGCTGATTTAAAAAGGGCAGTTTCATGAGTATAATTTCCATATTCTTTTTTAATCAGTTCATTTTAACTGGTGTTTTGTTTCTTTTTCTCTCCACTTAGCATAAACTGAACACTGAAGACACAAACCCAGGAGATGAGTGCAGAGCTACCGAAATGAAAAGAGTGCGTGAAGTGTAAGGGCACTCACTCTCTAGGTGTAAAGCCCTTAATTCAAATTGCTAGGAGATAATCACTCTGAGCATCTATCTTCTAAAATCCTAATGGTACTGTGTACATAACTGGATCTGGGTGGATGAGGCCTCCTTTGGCGCACAATGCTTAACAAAGAAAGCTTTCGGCATGGGCATGATAGCAGTCCTCTTACTCTCCAAAGCCCAGATAAGCTAGCACAGCGAGGTGTCCCAGGAAAGCCTCAGCTAGTGTGGCAGACACATCAGAAGTTGTCTGCCTCTGTATAAAAGCAGAATGAGCACCGTCTTAAGGAAAGTGAAAACAAGCACTGGATAAGAGGCACAAAAGACCTAGGAATGAAAGGAGGAAAAAAATCACAGGGCCAAACGTTATTATCATATGAGAATTTATAATTTCCCTCCTAATCAAAACTTATTCTGAAAGAGAAGGATCATTACTAGGTAGAGTTGTGGACAACCCAGGTTATAGATAAAGTGAGAAGATTCTTCCAGAGTAACCCAAGGACCTACGAGTGGTCACAGTCCAGTCTCTGGAGATATATGGTTCAGACCTCATGGTTGTTGTGTGGCACATTTTGTTGTTCACAAGAGCTGGAATAGAACAAAATATGCCTCTGCAAAGGCTGTTGTACATCAGTGGAGACAGCCAAAGAAGCAGCTTCAAATCAGGGGAAGGATTTGTAGGATGTCGGGAGATTGAAGCACTTGGTAGACGAGATGCAGGCATTTCTGAGATTTTAAACCGGAGTCCAATTTCAAGCATCCAGGCAAGCCCCCTTCCAGAACACATCCTCTCTAGGTTGCATTAGGAAGGATAAAAAGACCCCTGCAGTTTTCCTTTAGAAAGATCAGTGTGGTTATTTTTCTAACTCAGTTTCAGCTGGGACCAAGCTGGTGTTTCCAGCTGGAGTGGATGAGGGCTGGGGAAGTGTTATGAAAGCAGTGGGAATCGAGATAGTTCAGGGAAACGCAGCCTGTCCATTTGTTTTTAATTTGGAGAGTTTCGCAGAAGAAATATGAAGTTTTGGCTTCTCTCAAACACAAGCCAGATTACTGAGAAAGTCTCATGACTACATGCTAGCAACGTCCAAGTTTAGATTTTGAGTTCAATCCTGTCTCCTAAATTCCAGACCCATATACCCGGCTGCCTGCTGGACAGCCCCCCTGGGTGTCAATAGAGATCTCCAACTTTGCACACCCAAGCCTGACTTTCTGTCCTCCTCCCCTGCCCTCTCCCCCGCCCCCAGCCCTACCTGCTTCACCCCAATTCCTCCCTGTCACCGTCCCTGGCAACACGTCCTTGCCAACGCCCA